TTATGCCTTTACACCAAATTAGATATTTAGATGATTTTATAGCTTATTTTCAACTTCCTCTAGAGCCTCTATCCACATTAAAGATGTGTGAGACTCATCCAGGTAAATTAATTTACTTACTTTTTATGTCTGCCATCTCCCCAGCTCTGCTATGTTGCTAATACCTGTGGTCTAGTGCATAGGTAGGTGGTTTACTCTTAATTTAAGAAATGACAGGACTCTCTTTATTTCTATAATAACTATCTGCATTTCTCCTGGACGCTGAGGACCACGAGGGTGGTGAGACTATTTATTACTGCTCCCCAGCACATAGTAAGCACTCGATAAATAGTTGAATTATTAAACTGTCTCTTTTATAGTCAACCACTTTTTATCCACGCTACTGTGTTCCTCAATTTTATTGTTAATTATACTGCATTGGCGTGGAGAGAAGGGATCCAGTTGCTTTCTCAATCTTTTAAAGAAAAGATAGTATTTCATCCTACTTCAAAATATGCTTTATGTGTTTTTAATATTCATAGTCATTTATAAATAGTAATTTTCAAACTCCAACTATTACACAGTAAATATAACTTAGGATTTTGGGAGGGGGTCATTTTATCTCTGAATCTACATTTCCAACATTTAAGTCTATCATTGATCAAATTGGTGTTCTACTAAAATTTATGCTAATATATGGGTTATTCATTTTAAAAATATTTCCTTCATTTAGTTCCTCTTTGATACTGTGCTCATTCCCTTTTATACCTTTCATATTTTTCTATTATTAATATGAATAGCTTTGTGTCAGAGCACCTTAAGGAAGTTGCTGTATTCATTTTCTTGCCTAAATCGTCTTCCTACTTGATGGTCTAATTGACATGATTTAAAATTTCCATATTGCCTATAAACAGTCTTTTCCTGCTTAATAGCATCTTTGCTTGTTTCCATACCAACTTAGAAACACCTGCTGAAACAGAAAGGTAAACAATCCGGAGTCTCAGAGTTTACCATCATGTTTGATACACAATCATAAAAATGAGTCAGCAGATGCATTTTCCGTACGCTAAAAGGTGAGACGACAGTGCCATCCTCCGCCATGCCAGACATTGACATTTCAATCAGCATTCTGGAAAGCACTCCGAGTTTAGAGTTAGTATTTGCAAAAACAGGTCAATATAGTTTATTTCAGGACATCGACAGATTTGCAATGGCTGCTATACCAACCTTGACTGGTCAGAACACCCCAGCTAGCATTTCGTTTAGAAGAACATTCCTCTCTACTTGCTAACCTTCTTTTGGTGAGGATCTGCTTAATGCAGTTCCTTTCAACGGCAATGTCTGCGGACATGGTTTGGTTGATGTTTTTGTCTGTGACAACCAGGTGTCATAAGCGCAAGTGCTCTAGCCAGAGGAAATATCAGCGTCTGGATTTCTAACTATTTTTTTCCTTCCCTTCGGACTTTCACGAAGGTTCCTGTGTGCTGACTGGAGAATGGCTTCCACGTCGAACTCTGTTCAGAAACCCGTGAAGCAGGGCTGGTAGGTGCAGTGTGGGGCATGGGCCAGAAATGCTCTAGCATTTTCTATTTTTAAAGCAGAGACTTGCTGCAGCCGGAAGTATTTAACTATTTGTGTAATATAGAAAGTAAGAAATGGGTAAAATTGCTTTTCCTAGTTGAAACAGAATTACAATGAATGCTATCTTTAAAATATGAAAGTCTATTTGAATGACCTACAAATCGATCAAATGTAAAATTGCCCGTTGATGATGACTGCAGACAGAATATTGCAGCCAGAAAGCTCAGCAGTGACCAGTGAGTAATCAGGCTTTCTCCTTCATCTTCAGGAATAAATAGTATATGTGCTTTCGGGTCAGCTGGTAGCTAGCTCAGGCTTTCATTTTGTAAGAATCTAAGTTTAGAATTGGCTTCGGTACAAAATCACAGCCTTCTTATTTATATAGGCACAGCCCACTATTATGATTTTTCTGGAGATCATTTCTAAACCCAAAGACGTCAGCAGTCAATTTACGTACTGCTGAGATTTTTCACCCTAAAAGGCTGAACGGGAAAGGGTAGCTGGAGAGATGAGAGGAAAAACCAAGCATGTGCCTGGCATATTTTGCTGGCATGTAAAGTTGAGCAAGGCACACGGTCTACGATCAAGTCAAGAGCAGTGACTGAACTATGATAGGACTCCAAGGATTAACTGAGCTGGTGATCGCATTACAGGGTATTAACATATTGAGGTCTGTCTTGATAAAATATGGTGACAGATTTTGTTATCTATCTTTGTTTTTATCATTAATTTTTAGGCTCTACCTCTACCTCATACAAGAAAAAAAAATTATTGGGGATATTGCCTTCACGTAACAAGTAGGAGAAAAAAAACATTGCATGAGCAGAATTGTTTCCCACGAACGACCCTATTAATATTTGCTGCCATATTACGTTGTCAATGTTTAACGCAGAGCTATCACTGGTGAATACCAAGAATATCTTTTCCTTATCTTGAATTAAGTTCTAAGCCCACCAACTGTTTGTGGGACCTGGCACAAGTAGCTTAATGATACCTCAGTTTCCTTCTCTGTAAAATGTGGAGTTTGAATAGGATCAGATTCTATGACTAACACATAGAGGACAAGGTAGTCTATGAGGTTTAGGCGTAGTATATTATCACAGAAGAGGCCAGATAGTCCCAGTAAAACTGAAACTCAGAGCCAGCTCAGCCTAGGCTAGTTTTGTGAGTGGCACATTCCTAGGTGAAATTAGAAAAGGTTGAAAGGGCCTATTCAGTCATATATTTACGTAAACCAATGGTCATTAACCATTGGCTCTTTGTCACTTAGTTTGTACTTACAAGGGTAGGGTGATAATCTACACAAACCACATGGTAAAAATAAATATTAAT